TCATATAAGTCAAATATACATATCAGATATATGAGTCAGATATGTATATATTGACCTTCATACCCAATACCTATCCGATACTTAACAGGTATGTATTTTTCATATTCAATACTTACTTTTTTTTACGGTGAAATACCTACTTAAACAAGTCATGTACCCACAAATATTAGATGTACCCATACACGATGCTCAGTCCTAATCCTGAATATCATGAACCCAAAAATGCTAGCCCTGAATATCATGGAGCTAAGTCCTATATCATGGGCTAGCTAGATCCGGGCTAGAATGTCAAAGACCGGAACTAGGCCGGCGTAGAATTGGCCCCATACCCAAAAATTGCGAATTGCGCACAATACCAGAACAGAAACTTGATTATGAAATACCAGAGTCACAGGTACCCATTTCTTTAATCAAATCCATGGTTTTATTGAGCCCACTTTGACACTGCCGTATTGGTTAGAATTTGATCATGAACCCATGTTCCGACTGCACAACTAAAGTCATTGATTTGATATTAGGGCCTCTCCATCTAATGGTTTTTATATTGGAAGTATTTGATGAAATGTTGGAATTCGGTAATTTGAGTATCTATGATTTCTGCGTTTGTTTCTTCTTTTACATTGTTCAAGAAAATGAGGTTGAGCATAGAATTCCATATTCGGTGACTGTGTGAGGGAGGCAAATGCATTGTTAGTCGAAGGGGAAAAGGGGAAAGGCAACTGCGCAATGCTCTTGTGAAGACTAAATATGACCTAAGTGCAATGCAATTAGCCAGCTAAAAGATTTATATGAAGACTTCATGTCTGCACTCCTTGTAGTGGCAGGGCTAGGCAAATCCGATCAGCTGGTTGCCAAGATCAGGAGAATGCCATGGAATTTTGGAGTCAAATGTTTCATTTCAGCATTTAACTTGGGGCTATAAAAGAGCCAAGCTCGAGGTTGAAACCATGTGCAATATCGAGCTCATCAATCAAGTTTAAAGGTGTCGGGGTGGAACCTGAACTCCATTGAGTTTAATTTCCTAGACTACTTTTAAGAAAGAAAAAAATAAAAAATAAAAAATAAAAAAAAAGGGTAAAAATCAAATGTTTTGCTATTTTAAATATTAAAATTTTTTATGAAATTATTTAAATATTTTAAATAAATTTTTTTGATATATTAATTTATTAAGGTTAAAACCCCTTTTTGGTCCCTAAACTAAAAAAATCCCTGATTTGGTCCCTACTATTTATCATTTTTACCCCGATTTGGTCCTTCCGTTAAATATCCACTTACGTGTTTTGTTACTTGACGGGGAAAAGGATGACATGTTAAGACATTTTGACACCTAAGATGTACAGCGTGGCAAAAAAATGAGATGGCAAGAAATTACTTAAAAAAATTTTTTTTTTCTTTCTTTGTTTTTCTTTTTTCCCTTTCTTCTCCCTCTCCCTTTCCTTTCACCTTCTACAAACCCTAACATTTCTTAATATTAAATCTGAGAATAACATAACAAACCAACATATAGAAATCAATAGATCTTTCGATCCAACTGCAGTTGAGTTGGAAACAAAACCCAACACTTGCTAGGTTTGAAATCGAATCCAGCACCTGCAAGAATATGAGAATAACACAACAGATAACAAATCCATAAATAGATCGAACTCAACAGATCCATCGACCTAA